GCTAAAAGCAGAATAATAGCAAATGATCACACAGCCAATTTACAGTTGCTAAGATGTTTGGAGGAAACCATTCTGGAGGATATCTGAGGACAACCAGGTCCATGGAAATCAATAGCATTTTGTCTTCTTCATGAAGGCGTTTCTGACCACAAAGATGGACATTTTTTAGCTTCAGGGGCCAAGGAACATTGACTGTAATTTTGTGTAGTTCTTGGCTGATTTCATGCAGTCTTTCGGAATTTCATGCAATTCTCAATAGAAAATAAGAACTTCCGTTCATTCAGTAACAATAACAAGAGTTGGAAGGGACCCTGGAGGTCTTCTAGTCCAACTCCCTGCTTAAGCAGGGGATCCTATACCATTTCGGACAAATGGCTGTCCAGTCTCTTCTTAAATACCTCCAGTGATGGAGCACCCACAACTTCTGGAGGCAAGTCATTCCACTGGTTAATTGTTCTCACTGTCAGGAAGTTTCTCCTTAGTTCTAAGTTGCTTCTCTCCTTGATGAGTTTCCATCCATTGTTTCTTGTCCTGCCTTCTGGTGCTTTGGAAAATAAGTTGGCCCCCCTCTTTCTTCTTCTATTGGTGGGATGATTGGAGTCCATAGTAGACCCAGGTAGTTTACATAACACTCCTATTTGTATTAGTGGTGGGCCGATTGGCCTTCAAATAATTTGCCACAATTGCAGAGTTTGTCGCTTGTGTCAGTTTCAGCTCTGGGTTGTTGCTTCTGTTCTTAGCGCAGTCAAAGTGGGTCAGGCCGTTGCAAAGCAGCTTTAGGATCTCCCCACCGTGTTCAGGCTGTTGCTGGGAGTTTTCACAGCAGATTTTGGGGCGTCCTAGAACATGAATATGCTAACGAAGGAAGGCAACTCTACGCGTCCCAGGATAATGTTGTAGGATCCAATCTGGGTCGGTCACCTGAACCAGAGATTTAGTTTCTGAGCTTTCATGCTGAAGCCCATCTTCAGGGAACTTCTCTCCAGCAGAGTGTGTGTTTTGGGCTATTCTGTGTGTGGTATTTATAGGTGCCTGTTGTATGTGGCTTTTAGTTGTTGATAGGGGTGTTGGTAGTCGGCTATTAAGTCCTTGGCTGTGGTTTCCTTGTGCTGCCATGTCTGTGCTGCCATGTCTTTGGCTCCTAAGTAGTTGATAAGCTGGTGATAAATCAGCATCCCTGTTGACTGACCAGCAGCCCATTTCCCGGGCTTCCATCATTTCCCTGGCTGTTTTTGTACCTGCTCATCCAACAATCTGAGTAGCTGCAAAATTGGATGTATGTCCTTGTTCATTGGACTGAATATTCTGAATGAACACAATGAACATAAGCCCTATCAACCAGTTAATAACAATGTGTGTGAGGGTGAGATAGATAGATAGATAGATAGATAGATAGATAGATAGATAGATAGATAGATAGATAGATAGATAGATAGGAGAGATGAATGTATGAAATTATAATGAACTTAAGCCCAACCAACAAGATGGATGTATGTTTATTTTTATTTATTTATATGAATGAATATGAATATATAAAAATGCAATGAACATAAACCCAACTGTCCAGACGAATACTGTACAATATGTGTCTGATATAGAAAGAGAGGGGAAAAAACAGAGACAGAGACAGAGGCAGAGAGATAGAGACAGATATATAGACAGACAGAAAGATAAAGATGATAGATAGATAGATAGATAGATAGATAGATAGATAGATAGATAGATAGATAGATAGATAGATAGATAGATAGATAGATAGATGATAAACAGATAGATATAGATAGATGATTGACAGAGAGAGAGAGATACCGGAAGATAGATAGATAGATAGATAGATAGATAGATAGATAGATAGATAGATAGATAGATAGATAGATAGATAGATAGATAGATAGATAGATAGATAGAACTGTATCAAAATGTAATGAACTTAAATCCAATCAACCAGAGCAACAGCAGGGTGGGAACACCAAACCACATTTACTGCAGAGAATTGGAATCTGTGGCTGGCTAGGTTCAGCAGGGAATTAATAGAAAAAGTTAAATTTCTGACAATACAACCTTCCCGCAGTGAGATAATGAGCACTTCGTGTGTATAGTGAGAAGGAATAACAGTTGCTTTCCAGATAAAACTCTGCCCTTGAAGCGAGAGTCTCCCCCTCCCCTCGAAAATGTCTTTTGGAGGGCCCCCCCCATCCTCTCGTATGCCCTCTAAGGGAGATGAGACAAGGATGCCAGCTTAGCTTTTGTGAAAGCTCTTCGTCTGCGGGATTCTTTTGACAGAGAAGATTAAAACAAAACCAAGCCAACAATATCAAACGAGATGATAAGATGGTGGAGAAGAATGGGATTGTTGGGTTGTGCATCTGTAGGTGTTTTGTAGCAGAAAATAAGTTCCAAATTACAGGACAGGCAATCCTCAACTTACGACTGCAACTGAGCTCAAAATTTACGTTGCTAGGTGAGAAATGTGTTAAGTGGTTTTCCCTCTGGACTAAAGACACACACACAGACACAAAATTCTGACACACAAAGGAGATTAAATCCCCCAACCCTTGTCCTTCTGCACACATTGGTGTAAAACACACTCTTTGTTTTTTAGGCTGGTTTAAAGCCAAGGTGTCCCAAATGTTTATCAAACAAAAGCTTCTCAGAAGAAGTCATCCTGGCTTGCAGACCTGAATGTGAGGGTCTGTGGGGAAAACTGGATTGTGGGTGGTGTGTACTTCTGGGAGCAGCACTAACACAACAACCCAAGGCTTTACCTGGATTTGACACCGGAGAGTCAGATTCTCTCCACAAATCCAGAACATGTGATGCTTGGTTAAACAGTCATCTTTACAGCTTAGCATGTTGGAAAACCTCGCTCCTTGGGTGAACGGTGGCGGTTGGGGACGTTGGGCAATCTCAGGAAATGAGTTGTGGGGACAAGTGGAGCCTGTGTTGGTGTGGGCAGCTGACTCAGCGAAAAGGAAGTCTCCCAAGCAAGGTTCTTAACGACCTTTCCCTTAACATTTCCCGAGGTGAAAGGGTTGCAGAAATGTGAGCCTCTGAGCTAATTCCAACTTAGATATATTTGAGGATATATTGGAGGGGAGACTTCCTTCTATTCCTTTGCACCCCTGTCTGTGAACAGTGAGGAGGCTGCTCTTTTCACCCATAGTAGAGAGATTTGCTCATAGATGTTCATAAGTCAAGCTATTTTCCAAAGCGCCTGAAGGCAGGACAAGAAGCAACGGGTGGAAACTCATCCAGGAGAGAAGCAACCTAGAACTAAGGAGAAATTTCCTGACAGTGAGAACAATTAACCAGTGGAACAACCTGCCTCCAGAAGCGGTGAATGCTCCAACACTGGAAGTTTTTAAGAAGAGACTGGACAGCCATTTGTCTGAAATGGTATAGGGTTTCCTGCCTGAGCAGGGGGTTGGACTAGATGACCTCCAAGGTCCCTTCCAACTTTATTATTATTATTATTATAAGTCTGTGACTCAACGGTTACTCTAACTGGGGGGAGGGGTTTTCCTTGGTGCTCCCCTACACAAGACATGTTATGACCCACCTAGGTACCATCATCGTTGCACTGCACTGAGTTACTCGGTGCATTACCTAGTTGGATCATGAAACATCTACAACCAGAGTAGTAAGGACCCCACGGTCCTCCTCCTTCTCTTCCTCATCCTCCCTGCAAACCCCACCCCCTTCTAGCGCGGATTATATTATCTAGTTGGGTTATGAAACATCTGCAAGGAAACAACCAAACTCAAAGAGCACCAAGGATTCCACAGTTCTTCTCTTCTTTCTCCTTCTCCTCCTCCTCCTCTCTATAAACCCCATTCCCTTTAGCCCAGATGATGTTACCTAGTTGGGTCGTGAGATGTCTGCAAGAAAACCACCAAGCTCAGGGAGCACCAAGGACTGCACAATTTACCCCCAAGCTACAATTATTCCCTTCTATCAGTTACGCTAACATTTAATGTTGCCAACGCCACTCACATGGGTTGCAAACGTTGAAGTTTTCCTTCAAATCTGGCTTCCATCCCATTGCAGGTCAGAAAATCATTGTGTGTACAACCTCCCTCTTTACATAAAGCTAGTTGTAAAGCTAGTTTACATAAAGCTAGAGGGCATAACCTCCTTCTTTACATAAAGCTAGTTCTATCCCGGTGAGCACAACTGCCTCTTTTTTTAAAAAAAAGACAAAAGATGGCACAACGAATTTTGTGATGGTGGAATTGAAGCTGATTTTAAATCACGGTCCAGACTCAGCAAAATCCAATGACGTTGGTGTTTGTCCTAATCCTACTTACTTTGGTTATCCTCAAGGCTGCAGCCAGGAAAAACCTACACGCCTTCCGTCTTGTGACTTTAAATTATTTTGCTTTGCTCTCTCTCTTTTTTCTTCTTCTTGGTTTGTTTGTTTTCCAAACACACCCTGGCCCTCTCCTGCTTCCACGCCAACGTGCACGGCTTTATTAAAAAGCCTGCGCCCGCAAAAATCACATGCTTTCTCACAATTTCCCCATCCTGTAAGCAATTTTCCTGAATGTGTGCTTTGTTGTGTGCCGTTTTCCTAGCGGAGAAATTTAATACACAAAGCAGTCCTAGGAGTTGCTAATTGTTCAGAAAGGCAGAGTGAAATTCAACGGGTACGAGAACCGAAGGAAGATTCCATCGTGGGTTGTATATTTGATGGGAAAGGATGAATTAGGCCGGCACGTACGGAAACATAAATTAAACCTTTTCTTCTTCTTCTCTGTGTCTCTCTAACCCAGTTTGTGGTTTCGAGGCAGCTGGGTACCGATCTGGTTTCTGCACCCCAACCTGGAGGTGATAATAGGGGGCAAAAGGACCCCCAAAATTAATGCGGCGAGGCTACGTTTTGTACAATTAAAAAAAACTCTACAAAGTTGCACCTTTTTTTAATGGATGGTTAAAAACCGGTGATTCCCTCTTTGCCATTTTATGTGAAGCGAGCGTTTGTTTTTCTCTGTCCCTTCTAGGCAAACGAGAGAGCAGGAAACCCCTCCTGACTTTTTTTACTTTTCCGACTATGAGAGACACAATGCTGAGATTGCAGCATTTCACCTGGACAGGTAAACGATGGGAGGGGGCGAGAGGAGGAAAAAAAATGGGGAGGGAGGGAGCTGAATGCAGTGTTTGCACGTCCTGATGGGAAACAGTTGAGTCAATTGTTCAGTCTTTTGCAACAGGGTGTTCTATGGGAGGTCATTCCATTTCTTTCTTTCTTTCTTTCTTTCTTTCTTTCTTTCTTTTCTTCTTCTTCTTCTTCTTCTTCTTCTTCTTCTTCTTCTTCTTCTTCTTCTTCTTCTTCTTCTTCTTCTTCTTCTTCTTCTTCTNAGTGAGAACAATTAACCAGTGGAACAACCTGCCTCCAGAAGCGGTGAATGCTCCAACACTGGAAGTTTTTAAGAAGAGACTGGACAGCCATTTGTCTGAAATGGTATAGGGTTTCCTGCCTGAGCAGGGGGTTGGACTAGATGACCTCCAAGGTCCCTTCCAACTTTATTATTATTATTATTATTATTATTATTATTATAAGTCTGTGACTCAACGGTTACTCTAACTGGGGGGAGGGGTTTTCCTTGGTGCTCCCCTACACAAGACATGTTATGACCCACCTAGGTACCATCATCGTTGCACTGCACTGAGTTACTCGGTGCATTACCTAGTTGGATCATGAAACATCTACAACCAGAGTAGTAAGGACCCCACGGTCCTCCTCCTTCTCTTCCTCATCCTCCCCGCAAACCCCACCCCCTTCTAGCGCGGATTATATTATCTAGTTGGGTTATGAAACATCTGCAAGGAAACAACCAAACTCAAAGAGCACCAAGGATTCCACAGTTCTTCTCTTCTTTCTCCTTCTCCTTCTCCTCCTGCTCCTCTCTATAAACCCCATTCCCTTTAGCCCAGATGATGTTACCTAGTTGGGTCGTGAGATGTCTGCAAAAAACCCACCAAGCTCAGGGAGCACCAAGGACTGCACAATTTACCCCCACGCTACAATTATTCCCTTCTGTCAGTTACGCTAACATTTAATGTTGCCAACGCCACTCACATGGGTTGCAAACGTTGAAGTTTTCCTTCAAATCTGGCTTCCATCCCATTGCAGGTCAGAAAATCATTGTGTGTACAAGCTAGTTGTAAAGCTAGTTTACATAAAGCTAGAGGGCATAACCTCCTTCTTTACATAAAGCTAGTTCTATCCCGGTGAGCACAACTGCCTCTTTTTTAAAAAAAAGACAAAAGATGGCACAACGAATTTTGTGATGGTGGAATTGAAGCTGATTTTAAATCACGGTCCAGACTCAGCAAAATCCAATGACGTTGGTGTTTGTCCTAATCCTACTTACTTTGGTTATCCTCAAGGCTGCAGCCAGGAAAAACCTACACGCCTTCCGTCTTGTGACTTTAAATTATTTTGCTTTGCTCTCTCTCTTTTTTTTTCTTCTTGGTTTGTTTGTTTTCCAAACACACCCTGGCCCTCTCCTGCTTCCACGCCAACGTGCACGGCTTTATTAAAAAGCCTGCGCCCGCAAAAATCACATGCTTTCTCACAATTTCCCCATCCTGTAAGCAATTTTCCTGAATGTGTGCTTTGTTGTGTGCCGTTTTCCTAGCGGAGAAATTTAATACACAAAGCAGTCCTAGGAGTTGCTAATTGTTCAGAAAGGCAGAGTGAAATTCAACGGGTACGAGAACCGAAGGAAGATTCCATCGTGGGTTGTATATTTGATGGGAAAGGATGAATTAGGCCGGCACGTACGGAAACATAAATTAAACCTTTTCTTCTTCTTCTCTGTGTCTCTCTAACCCAGTTTGTGGTTTCGAGGCAGCTGGGTACCGATCTGGTTTCTGCACCCCATCCTGGAGGTGATAATAGGGGGCAAAAGGACCCCCAAAATTAATGCGGCGAGGCTACGTTTTGTACAATTAAAAAAAACTCTACAAAGTTGCACCTTTTTTTAATGGATGGTTAAAAACCGGTGATTCCCTCTTTGCCATTTTATGTGAAGCGAGCGTTTGTTTTTCTCTGTCCCTTTCTTTCTAGGCAAACGAGAGAGCAGGAAACCCCTCCTGACTTTTTTTACTTTTCCGACTATGAGAGACACAATGCTGAGATTGCAGCATTTCACCTGGACAGGTAAACGATGGGAGGGGGCGAGAGGAGGAAAAAAAATGGGGAGGGAGTGAGCTGAATGCAGTGTTTGCACGTCCTGATGGGAAACAGTTGAGTCAATTTTTCAGTCTTTTGCAACAGGATGTTCTATGGAAGGTCATTCCATTTCTTTCTTTCTTTCTTTCTTTCTTTCTTTCTTTCTTTCTTCTTCTTCTTCTTCTTCTTTCTCCTCCTCCTCCTCTTCCTCTTCCTCTTTCTCTTCCTCCTCTCCTCCTCCTCCTCCTTGTTCTTTCCTCCTCCTCCTCCTCCTCCTATTCTTCTTCTCCTCCTCCTCCTTCTCTCCCCCTCTTCCTCCCTCTCCTTTTTTCTCCTCCTTCTCCTCCTGCTTTTTTCTCCTCCTCCGCCTCCTTCTTCATCTTCTCCTCCTCCTCCTCCCTTTCCTCCTCCTCCTCCTCCTCCTCCTCCTCCTCCTCCTCCTCCTCCCTCTGATATCAGAAAACATCACACGGAGGTCCACAGTGAAGTAGAACTGATGATGACATCTGATATACCTTGAAAGGTGGACAATTCCACAAAATGGATACTAGCACTAGGAAAATCTACCCTTGGGGAACCGTCCCCTAGAAATGGCCTATCAATAGCACTAAAGAGTGGAGCTGCTCTCAAAATCTCAGGGACTGAACTGGTCCATCCTTGGATGGGGTCCCACCAGGGGATTCTTTCAGGCCACGTTGGTTCAAATCTCAGTAAGTCCAACCAGCAAAACAAACAAGCCAGGTTTTAACCTTGAACAATTCAACCCCGCCTCTTTTTTGCATTTTTCTTTTTCTTTTGCACATAATTATGAGGTCTAACTGAGTCACCTGTTATGATATTTACAACCCGTCCTGCAGAAGATTTTTGTTGTGTGGAATTCAGCAGATTAAACCCGTCTCCTCCCGTTTTCTTTCCAGGATCCTAGATTTCCGTCGCGTCCCACCAGTTGCAGGCAGACTGGTTAATATGACCAGAGAAATAAGAGACGTTACTCGCGACAAGAAACTCTGGAGGACATTTTTTATCTCGCCAGGTATGGGAAAGACTTAGTTAACCGCCTGGGCACCAAAAACAGCTTCCAGGTGACAGGCAGCAATTAAAATGAGGCTCACGAACTATCGCAATAGATCAACGTTCAAATTCAACCGAAAAGGTTTGCGGCCATCAGGGCCTTTAAATTAATTTGTCAGCCTGGTTGATTCAGCATCTCAGATTCCTTCAGCAAAATTGCCGGGGGAATTCAAAGCTTTTCAGGAACCCCACTGACGAGTCATTTCCATCCAGGGGGGAACCCAAGGATCCAGTGGGCAGGATCCAGTAGGAAATGTTGGCTTCCCGCTGGATCCTGCCCTTCCTGCTTCTTCACTTGTGCTTTGTTATTGTTTCCTTGGCTCCATCTTAATTGCTGCTACGAACTCTCCTCGTTATGTTAATCAGCCTGGGCGTTCGGCAAGGAGACCCCATTGACTTCCTTTAATAACGGCTACAGCAGCAACTACAGAAATTACATCGGGAAGATGATCGTGTAAACATTTGGAGGCAAATCCCAATTTACAGCTAGGCCAAAGGCTTAATGAGCTGCGTCTCCTGGGCAAAGCCTGAATTAGATCACCTTCCGGAGAGGATGGGGTAAATTGTCCACCAGAGTGGCTTTCGCGCCTTTTAAAATCCACAGTTGCTTTGGTGGTGCTTAGAAACCATTCCAGGTAGACCTCTGAGTGCAGTATAGCTCTCTGTTCTAGTAGCAAGGTTGCAGCTTGGTTGGTGCTGCTGGGCAAAAACCTCTTGGCGCTATATTCTGACGAGTTAGCCGAAAAGTTCTCGCGAGAAAGATAGGAATTAGGAGAAGACTCTATGTTAGCTCTTATTCCTCGTCAAAACCAGAAAAAGTCCACTGGTAAATGTGTTAAATGGGAAAAGGGAGAGAGGGAGGGAGGGAGGGAGGGAGGGAGGAAGGGAGGAGAGGGAAGGAGAACAGGAAGAGAGGGAGATGATGGGGAGGGAGGGGTGAGAAAAGGGAGGGAAGGGAGGGAGGGAGGAGAGGAGAGGGAAGGAAGACAGGAAAAGGGAGATGATGGGGAGGGAGGGGTGAGAAAAATGGGAAGAGAGGGAGATAGGGAAGAAAAGAAGGGAAGGAAGGGAAGTGAGGGAGGGAGGGAAGAAGGGAGGAGAGGAGAGGAGAGGGAAGGAAAACAGGAAGAGAGGGAGATGATGGGGAGGGAGGGGTGAGAAAAGGGAGGGAAGAGGGAGATGATGGGGAAGAAAAGGGAAGGAAGGG